TAGTTATAATTTTTAGCAGGAGCACAAATTATTTGGGGGTAATTTTACAATCGTTTCCTTATCCCCCGCCCCCCCTTAACTGCAGGGGGGAAACTCCATAGGTCACAGAATTAAAGCTTTTTGCTTGAGATCTTTATAGTGGGGCCAGTCTCATGAGTTCTTTGTTCTGGTGGCTTTGTTCTAGTAAACTGCCATAATCTAGTAATTTGAGTGGTAGAGTTTTTTTGTATGTTTTTTTGTCTCTGTTCTTTGTATATACTTGTATGCCATTTTGTAGCCATCAGAATTCTTTATTTGTGTTTGAAACAGGTCTCTATATTTTCCAGGGAGGCCTTTAACTCCTGGGTTTAAGGGAGTCTCCTGCCTCAGCCTGGAGTAGCTGGGATTACAGCTTTTTGCTAGAACCACTCAAGCTTAGCATCAGATATAATTAACTAGTCTTATAGGTATCCAGCATCAGAGATTAATTGGTAAAATGTACTTGCAAGTTAGCTTTGAGTATCAAAATAGTATGTTTTACTTGTGAATATGAGCTCTTCTGATTAATACTTTTGCTCAAATGTGTGCTAGGTAGTAGCTTAAATATTTTATTTGCCTGCTTTTCTTTGATAATATAATGGAAACTAGCCTGTGGAGTGAACTACCATAACACTAGACCAGAGGCAGAACTGAAAAGAGTAAAGGTGTTTTTTATCCTTTAAGTTGGATATTTTCTCTTCTAGAATTTTGGGGTATTACTTGACCTAAAGAAGGCAACAATGGGGCTGGGGTTGTGGCTCAGTGGTAGAGAGCTTGCCTAACATGTGTGAGGCACTGGGTTCAATTCTCAACACTACATATAAATAATAAGGTCTGTCAACAACTAATAAACATTTTTTTAAAAAAGATGTTGGTCATTAAATTAACAACAGCTAACATTTATTTTAAAAAAGAAGAAAAAGAAAAAGGCGGCAGAAACAAGAAGAGCAAAATGAGCAGTATCTTTTTTCTCTTTGTGCTGGACATACGTTCATGACCAAGAATAAAAGTGTATTTCAGGAAGCATGCTGTTTCCTGATAGCCAGAGGGAATCTCTGTTTTCTGTGTTCTAAACCCAGCGCGAAGTTCAGTCTAATGAGCGTGTTTGGATTGATATTTCCTAGAGGAAACCCCTTCTTATCCCATTTGCCCTGTTGTTTCCTCACACCCTTTTTCCATCAAAAAAGCATTTAGGGGCTGGGATTGTGGCTCAGCAGTGGAGCACTTGCCTAGCACGTTCGAGGCCCTGGGTTCGATCCTCAGCACCATATAAAAACAAATAAAATAAAGATATTGTGTAAAAAAAAAAAAAAGCATTTAATTTCCACATGTTCATCCTGTTTTGTTCATATCTCCTGTGAGCTTTTATTATTTACTGTTTTCTATTTGAAGTGAACTCAACTCCTCCATCTTTTTTAACTGTTTCCAGGCATTTTTCTTTCTCCTCCTTTGAAATTCCAGACTGTTTATTTGAAATGGCTACATACAATATATATTAACTTATAAATATCTGATTCCTGGAAAGTCTTCCTGTTGTTGGACTGTGAGGAAGACTTTAGCAAAAAGAGGACAAGTTCCTTGTAGGGGGGGAAAATATATAAAATATATATTTTTAATATTTTTTATATAAATATATATAATATATATATATTTATATAAATATATAATATATATTTATATAAATATATAATTATTATTATTGTCTTTTATACTTAACTGAGCAATATGTCATTATCCCAGAATGAGCACTGTCCCAAAGGACCAGTGATGTTGGTGAAGGGTGTACTAAAGAGAGGTGAGCAAGGGAAGTTGTGGCGAGGGAATGGGAAGAGTTTTTGTTTGTTTGTTTTTAATGTATAGTTAGAGTATATTAGCTTTTTCTGTGTATAATGTAGGTAAACAAATCTGGTAAATAAAGAAGTCTGACGGCAGAGAAGTAACTTGGCTATATTTCTGATTTCTGTGGTGAAGAGGATTGCTTGGATTGTTGGGACAGTTAGTGCTCATTATCTTCAGCTTTCTCTGTGGAAATATGTGCATTTTAGTTGAGCAAGACTCACTGTACTTGCAAGATAGAGCCAGATTTGGACATAGAATGAGGAGGTAGCAGTCTGCCAAAAATTTCAAATGCCTCTTGGCTATGGGTAGATCCAGGTCTTTTAAGGAAGGACTTGGATTTGTTTCATATTTTTTTCATATTCAATTAATGTGTTGGTGCCAAGGGGTACATATTTGAGGCCTGAGAACCATGAAATTTGCCAGTGTGGTACTGGAAGCAAAAGTTCAACAGAAGAAAATAGAATTGTTTTACTTTTATTCCTGAGTTATTTTTCTTTAACTACTCCATTTTCCAAACTGGGAAACAGGCTGAGAGAGATTGTTACTAGTGGCAAAGATATTTGCTATTGAGGTGAATCTTTTTTGGTGGTGCTAGGGATTGAACCCAGGGCCTTGTGCATGTGAGGCAAGCACTGAGCTATATTCCTAGCCCCACTGAAGTGAATCTTATGGAATTGTAGCTCATTCCTTGATCTGCTTTTAGTTGGCTCTTAGCTAAGGTGATTTCACAACTGGTAGATCGGACTGCTTTTAGGGTTTTGTTCCTTAGGAAAAACTGATATCTGCTGGGTAACAAAACTTAGGTCTTCTCTGAGCTATGGCTTGGTTTTTAGTCATTAGTGAGGGTGACGATGTGTATATATATATTTAGCATTGTTTTTTAGAGCTTGTTTTCAATAATACTCCTCAGAAGGCATGATGACATTTCAAACACATTTCTATATCTTTTCATTTGGAGAACATATTGTGCCTCCCACCTGCAGGGATATAGTTAGAATGGCTTCCAGTATTCCAAGTTAACTTGGACTAGAGAGAGTGCTTCAGGTAGTTCTGCAAGCAACTGGGTTGATTTTGTTTTAGTTTTACTTTGTTGCAGGGAGTTTAGTTTTTTTTTTTTTTTTTAATCACTATCTACTTATCAACAAAGAGTCCCCTGAAGGTTAACTTTTGCTTCCAAAAATGCTCCTTTGTGCATGTGTGACCTCACCCCCCTTTCTCCCACTCCAACTGAGTTACACCCCCAGCTCAAAGGAGCTGTGCTCTAATATAGGAATTATTGATTCATTTATGTATTAATGTTGCTAGATCATTGAATTGAATCTCTGGGAACACCTCCATGACCTGTGAAGCAAAATCCTGATAGTCTGAGGAATGCACATCCGGCTAGCCTCTAGCATCCCCAAATTATATGTGTACTTCAAACCTTCAAGTCACTCACATGCTGCCTCTTAGTTTCTCATCTGGTGGATGATGTCATCTTATCTTGGGCGGAAATACTTCTGCTCTGAAAGCACAGGGAGAGGCTCTGCCATTAAGGCCAATTCTGTTTTGTCCCACATGCTGGAGATGGAGAAAGACCTACTAACTCATTTCAGAGCAATTCAGTATGTAACTCTTTGTTTAAATTATCTTGTCCTGGGCTGGGCCTATAGCTCAGTGGCAGAGCGCTTGCTTAGCATGGGTGAGGCACTGGGTTTGATCATTAGCACCATATAAAAAAATAAAATAAACAAAATAAAGGCATTCTGTCCATCTACAACTACATTTTTTTTTTTTTTTAAATCATCTCCCTGCTGGGCGCTGTGGCACACGCCTATAGTCTCAGTGGCTCAGGAGGCTGAGACAGTAGAATTGCGAGTTCAAAGTGAGCCTTAGCAATGGCGAGGTGCTAAGCAACTCAGTGAGACCCTTTCTCTAAATAAAATACAAATAAAGCTGGGGATGTGACTCAGTGGCCGAGCGCCCCTAAGTTCAGTAACACCCCTCCACCCCATCCCACTCCCCCAAAAATTATCTCCTCCTTTAAGGTTCGCACATTTCTCCCTCTGAAATTTGTTTGCCCTTTTCATACCTCTCAGGATTACACTGTTTTTTCTTTTTCCTTTTATGTTTTCTTTTTCTTTCTTTCTTTAGTGCTGGGGATCTACCACTGAGCTATGTCCTCAGCTACATCCTTTTCATTTATTCTCCCTAAATTGCATAGGCTTGCTTTGACTTGTGGTCCTCCTGCCTCAGCCTCCTGCTTAGCTAGAATTACAGATGTGCACCACTGTGCATGGTCCTTCTTTGCATTTTTTTTTTAATTCCTCTCAATAATGGATTTTTGTCTCCAGTGGCTCAATAAGTAGTAAGCAGATTTATGGAGAATCACAGTGGTGTTTTGCCAAGTGACTAGAAACCAGCCCTTCCGGTACCTTTTTCATCATAAACCCGAGGTAGGGTGGGGCCAAGGACCAAAATGGAATGCTTCCCTGAAACTAGTACAGAGTTGCTCAGAAAAATTTTCTGTAACCCAGTGTGATGATTCAGCTTTGTATTTTAGCAATAATTGACTGGGTTGTCTCTACTTTGGCATTTGGCTTGACTGGTTCAGCTGTTCTGAAATTACTTCAGTAACATTCGTGATTTCCCAACTTTTTTTCATAATTTAAAGGCTGTTTCCCCCCTACCATGTCTTGGCATCTGAGATATGCCAGAATTGGGTATCCCTGTTTTTAATAAGTCATTTGATATTTGAGGAATATGGTTCCCTTTTTCAAAGTGAACTTCTTATATGTGTTAATGTACTTTTATTCAAGTTGTAGTAGTATGTACCAAAGTAATATATAGTTGAGAAAAACTACATAAAGGAGGGGCCGGGTTGTGGCTCAGTGGGCAGAGCGCTTGCCTAGCATGCTTGAGGCACTGAGTTCAATCCCTGGCACCACATAAAAATACACAAATAAAATAGATGTTAAAAAAAAAAAAAAACTACATATAGGAATTAGGGTTATTTTTAGCTTGGGATTGTCAACAGCATTCTAGGCATTTATTTTTATTTAAATTTTTTTCTTCTAGCTTTTCTTTGCCAGCAGTATAACATGATCCCATAAGCTTGAGTTATGTGTATGTGAGGGTGGGGGTGGGGGTCAGGCTGTTGAGTAGTGGCATACTGGGAATTATGGGTTACAAAGCAAAGCGAGGTTTCAAGCAGGAGCCTAAAGAAATGTCTTTCTATGGTCTGTTGGCTATTTCAGAACTTTAGAAGTATAATAGTCAATTCAATAGAAAGAAACATCTGAAGGGGGGAAAGAAAAAAAAAAGAATATTTTAGTATGCCAATGAAAACATTTGCTGGGAAAAAAAAGCAAAGAGAATAACAATACACATTCTTGTTGATGTTCTTTAATTGTTTAATTATGTAATGTACATAATAAATTTTTTTGTTACAGTTTATATAGTTAAAGAAAAATAGAAACTTAAAAATCTGATCCCCAAAAAAGAGATGTTGTATTTTAATATTTTGGTATGTATTTTTCTGGGTGTTTTATACATGTGTAAGTGTATGTAAATATTTTATGAAAAATTATATCAGGGTCTGGAAATGTACTTCAGTGATAGAGTGCTTGACTAGCATGCACAAGATGCTGTTTGGTCTCTAGCACCAATAAAAAGAAAGAAGAAAAAGATACTATACTATATTTTAAAAAACTTTTTTACTCAACAATTTATTATGATACCATAAATACACATCAAAATTATAGTTTTTAATATTCTGTTAAACTATATTTTAATTGATAATGCCTATCTCCTTGTTCATATAGGTTTTTTCCAGTTATGGTACTTAGACATTCATAGTTATTATATATAGTGCTATAGTAAACATCTTTATATATATATCTTTGGATAGAAGCCTGTATGTAGAGGAGCCTTATATCTGAAAAATTTGGCCAATTTGAATTCACTCAAGAGTAAAATGATTTGGAGTACAAGTTTTGTGACTACTCTAGGAATTTTTGTGCTAGAGCTGGTCCGTCTGTATTTTTGGACACTTACCTGGAATTTCAAAAAATCATTTTATATTTCACAGTATGGTGCTAGAGATTAAGCCAGGCCGTGTTCATAATTTTAAACTTCATAGTTTTTTTTGTCTTTTCTTAAAATCTGCTGTTAAGCAAGTAGAATCCCAGAAGTAAGTGGTAACTTTCTGTTTTTTCCTCATTAGGTTTCAACTTTCTGTGCTGTGGGGTCAACCATAAGAGAGGTAGATCTGATGTATATCTGTGATGAAGAAGCATGAGCTCCTTGCAGTAACTAGCTGCTAGCTCCTCTTCCCCATAACAGTTGCACACTTTTTGTAGTGATAGTGCATGATCTTCTGAGAAGGCTGTGGATGTCTTGAAAACATTATTTGACTGTAGCTCCCATGTCTCTCTGCCTTCTCCAAAAAAAAGGTTGCTATCTTAACAGAGGTGTCTTTTCTCATAGTTCTTCTTGTTTTAGTAAACTAGTCTCAGCTCTTTTCAGTTTCCCTTTCTGTTGCACCTCTCATTTTCCTTTAACCTTTCCTATCATATTGATGGGACTTCACCATTAATAAAATAATAGATGCTAATATTTATTGAGCACTTACAATGTTAAGTCTGTACATGACATCTTATTTATTTATTTTTTTTTTTAATGGTGCTGGAGATTGAAAACAGGGCTTCAAAGAGCTGTCACTGAACTACATCCCTACCTGCTATTTCTGAATTTTATGGATGTAATAATAAGGCCTAGAGAAGTTTTGACCAAATGTGCACAAGGTTGCCTTTTAGTAAATGATGAATCTAATATCCAAACCTAACAACTGAGGTGTTCTGATTGTAAAGCCTATATTGCTACCCACTGTGTTGTTATTGTTCCCCTTGCTGATTGGTTGTTTTGTTTTTGTTGGTGCTGGGGATTAAACCCAGGGCCTGTCACATGCTGGGCAAGTGCTCTACCGCTGAACTATACCTCTGACTCCCCTTACTAATCTGAAAGTCTGCGTGTGAACTAACTTGGCTTTATTTCTATACTTATTTATTTGGTACTGGGGATTGAACCCAAGGGTGCTGAACCTATTTTTTATTTTAAGATAGAATCTCTTGAGTTGCTGAGCCGACTTTAAAGTTGCAATCCTCCTGCCTCAGCCTCCTGAGCCACTGGGATAATAGGCATGTGCCATCTTGTGTGGCAGGATGGATAGCTAATTCTGTATTCAATTCCAAGATACTGAAAACAAAATAAACTTTTTTTTCCCATTGCAAATACAGCAGCGACAAGTCTTAATACTTTTAATCAGAACAAGTCACATACCAAAAAGTAAACTCTAGTCTGAGACAAATAGTACTTTGTTTTTCCCCCCCTATTAAAATGCTTGATGTCTTAATGCAGAGGCAAAGGTACTTCTGACCTGGTTATGGTGGCACTTACCTGTAGTGCCAGCTTTTCAGGAGGCTGAGGCAGGAGGATCACTTGAACCCACAAGTTCAAGAGGAGCCTAGCCTGAGCAACAGAGTGACACCCCATCTCAAAAAGGAAAAAAAAAAAAAAAAGGTACTTTCTCCTGCTACTAGTGAGGACTTTAACATCTATAAAGCTGTGAAACTGCTTTTTTTAAGTATCAGACTTAACAGTTGCTCTTCTGGAGTATTGACCTGTCTACTACCACCTTCCTGCCTCTCTTCTATCACACTGGGGATTGAACCCAGGGGTCCTCACCATTCAGCTGCATCCTCAACTTTTTTTTTCCCCCAGTCTCTATACATCAGTTTTTATTGGAACACAGCCCTGCCTGTTCATTTACATATTGTCTACAGCTGTTTCACACTCAGGTGGTTTGTTGGTTGGGCCAGAGACTCTGTGGTTCTGGCCCTCTATAGCAAAAGGTTGCCAACCTCTGCTTTAGAGTTAGGTTTCTATCCTGTGTTTCAGCAAAGATTGGTCATATGTGAAGTAGGAAGATGTGAGCCCCAGGCAGGGAGGCACAAGGAGAACAGGGTCCATAAGTTTGGACTGAAGAGACCAGAACTTAGTGATCCTAGAAAAGGAAAGCTGGAGTAAGGTAGCAGGAGCCAGCAAGGTACAGGGGACAGGCAGAGGGAGGAGACATGGGCATGGCACCCTTGCACACTTCATCAGCAAAGGGCCAGTCTATGCCTGCTTGTTCTGCTTCATTTTATAGCCTCCATGTAATTAGAACCTTAAATCTCATGTACCAGTTCACCACGGTTCCTGATCTGTCGCTGAGGTCAAAACGATGTTGGGGGGCTGGGCATGTGGCTCAAGCAGTAGCGCGCTTGCCTGGCATGCGTGCAGCCTGGGTTCGATCCTCAGCACCACATACAAACAAAGATTGTGTCCGCCAAAAAACAATAAATATTTAAATTCTCTCTCTCTCTCTAACTATCTCTCTCTCTTAAAAAAAAAAAAAACGATGTTGGGGTGTCATCATGGCAGAAACTAAAAGCAGTTCTGTCTGGTGGCATGATAATGTAAGACAGAGACATCATTTTCAACTTTCTAATAACCTTGCTTTAAGAAATAAAAAGAAGCTGACTAGCCGGGTACTGGGGCACATGCCTGTAATTCCAGAGACTCTCAGAGGCTGAGGCAGGAGGATCCCAAGTTCAAGGCTAACCTCAACAACTTAATGAGACCCTGTCTCAAAATAAAAGACCTTGGCACTTAGTAGTTAGAGCTCCCCTGATTTCAATTCTTAGTACCAAAGGGGGAGAGAGAGAAGGACAGGGGGAAGGGAGGGAGGGGTTTGTGTGTGTCATCTGGTGAAATTAATCATGTTATTTATTTATTTATTTATTGCTACCAGGAATTGAACTCGGGCACTAGACCACTGAGCCACATTCCCAAACCCTATTTTTTTTTTTTAAGAAAGAGTGTGAGAGAGAGAGAGAGAGAATTTTTAAATATTTATTTATTTATTAGTTTTCGGTGGTCACAACATCTTTGTTTGTATGTGGTGTTGAGGATCGAACCCGGGCTGCACGCATGCCAGGTGAGCACGCTACCGCTTGAGCCACATCCCCAGCCCGCAAACCCTATTTTGTATTTTATTTAGAGACAAGGTATCACTGAGTTGCTTACTGCCAGGCTTTTGCTAAGGCTGGTTTTGAACTCTTGATCCTCCTGCCTCGGCTTCCTTAGTTGCTAGGTTTATAGGCATATGCCATTGTGCCAGGCTTTAATGAAGTATTTCACTTACTCCAATATATCACTATTGTCATTTCAAATGTAATCATTGCAAAATTTGCTAGTGAGAGATTCTTTGTTTCTCTTTCATATGAAGCCTTTGAAATCCCCCGTGTATTTTATAGTTGACATTCTATCTTGATTTGACAATTTCATGATGCTAAACTTCCATCAGAAATACTTGGTCTGTAGTTATAATTTATAAAATTAACACTGGAAAAAGAAGATAAGATTCAAATTATTTCAAATATACTTAAGAATTTTTAAAATAAGTCAAATCAAGTTTCAGTTTTTAAATGTAAATTTAAATCAATTGAAATTTAACAAAAAAAGAAAAGAAAGTGAACAAAATTTAAAATTCAATTCCCAGTTGTTCTTGCCACATTTCAGGTCCTGGATAGCCCTGTATGGTTGGTGATGATAGTATTGGACAGAATGGCTCTAGACAAATCCTAGGGCACAGGACTGCCATGCATGGCTCTCTGACACTTTCTGTCAACAAAGGGTAACAATTAATATTTACAGCAGGGCTGGGATGTGGCTCAAGCGGTAGCGCGCTTGCCTGGAATGCGTGCGGCCCGGGTTCGATCCTCAGCACCACATACAAAGATGTTGTGTACTCCGATAACTAAAAAATAAATATTAAAATTCTTTGTCTCTCTCTCTCTCTCTCCCTCTCTCTTTAAAAAAAAATTATTTAAAAAAAAATATTTACAGCACATAATCACTCTCTTTTTAAACTCCCTGAGTCACAGGAGAGAGAATACATAGTATCTTCATCTTGTCTGTCTGCAAATGTGTCCCCTGGAAAAGGTATCTTACCTCCTGGAATTCTAAAAAGGTTACCAGGAAGGAGGACAACACAGTATTCAAATGGCAAAGGTTCAGAAAAGTCCCCAAAGTGGTTATGTTTCCCCACTCATTAAATCAATAACCAGGTCTTGTCAGCTTTCTCTATAAAATGTAAATGTTAGAGGACTATACTAAAGTATAGTCATCAAGGTTATATAGTAACTGGCATAAAAATAGACAATAGAATAGAACTGGGAGCCCAGAAATAAATCCAT